TCCGAAGCATAAACACCAAGGGATTTTCTTGTTGCACAGAACAAGAATTTAACCATTGCCAGTTTGTGAATTGGTGAATGCAAATAACAAACTTGATATGTATACTAATTGACGCAATATGTACATGTAAGATCTAATGGTATGTTTGGGAACGTGACTTTTGGAGAGTGTATTTGAATTTGCTCATTTCAAATTCAATATCATAATTTATTTTCATAAAATAAGGATGTAATTGAATTTAACCAAAATACATGTAATTAGAATTATATATTTCATGTATTTCAAATTCTCTTCCAACTCTATAGATTTCAAATTTAGATTTATGTATTTCAACTTGTCCCTGGCCGAACTCTTCCGCACCAGAGAAGGCTAGGTAGGAATGTGGAGATTTTTCCATTACAAGACGAGCAAGAGAGATGGGGTTCTTCACGGTGGTTACACTGGATACGGCGCTGCACCTTCTCTTGTTCCCGTCCATAATGCTTGCCTCCATCTCCAACGTTCCTTTGGCCGTGAGTGCAGATCCATGGCTGGAATTGAACAAAGGATCCGTTTCTAGTTCTCTCACCTACATAACCAAACCACGTAAAACAATTGCTACATTCTTAAAGGCGAAAGCATTTTGCGTCTTTTTTGGTCAAAAACTACCACGTCTGCTATTTTTAAGGAAAAAAGTAGGAATTAAGTACTTGTCTTTTGAGAAGAAAAAGCAGAGGACTGCAAAAATAGAGACAGAGGCGAAGAGATTAACGTACAACGAGTTCAACAACAATATTAATGGCAGGGAGATTAGAATGGAGAGTAAAGATGCCGATTTCGAGATAATGGGTGAGGAGTTCTTTGGCCTCCGCTTGTCTATGTCAGGGAGATTGGGGTCCACACCAGCAACATTTGGCCTGAGCCTTGTTACTAAAGTTGCAAAAGGATTGTCTAAGAAGTGTTTGTAAAAATGCCTAAATCAACCATTTAAATATCAAATTTACTTTTATTATATTAATTTAAATAATAAATTTAAAAATATATGTATTTATAATTACATATATTTTAAATACATATATTTAAAATACATTTTTTAAATATAAATTTAAGTTCTCAAACATCACCTTTATGATTTTGATTATGCCGGTAACAAAGGAACTTGAGTTGCGAGGAGATATTTACTTTGATAAACAAGGAAATGAACTTCATTCATATTGATATAATTTTTAAAGTTACTGGATCATCTTGGAAAAAAAATAAACTTTTTAAACTAAAGGTATAAAAGATCAATGTAATAGGCAACAATGTAGGTAATTTAGTGGTAATATTTTTTGTAAAATCAATTTGATATGATTATAGTTTGAGGTTTTTAGTTTTAGTTTTGAAAAATTTAGCAATGTAAACCAAAACTAAAAGCTTAAAGTAGAGATGTAGTTATATATAAGTTTAATACGCTGCACTCATATAAAATATTATAATAATTTATTTCAAACAATTGAGATTTATTATAATTTTTTTAAATAAAAAATATAATTATTTTTTAAAAAAATATAATAAAAAATTAATAAATATCAATTATTAAAAGTAAAAAAATAATAATTAAAATTTTATATAAATATAATATATAAAATTTGAATGCAAGTGGATCATAATTCTAAAACCTAATATAGATTTTTAAAAAAAATTAACACTAATAACTTAAAATATAAACTTATTTAGTACATAATATTAAAACTATGTCCTTAATTTTAACAAATCATAATAATATTTTCGGAATTAGACATAAACTAAATAAAATTTTTTGTTTAAAGTTACAAACTTATAAAAATCAAAATCGAAAACCAAACACCACAAGGCACAACCATGATAAAGTAAACACAGTCTTAAATTTAGCAAGAAAATCTAGTAAGCATATCAGCATAACTTGTTTAGGTGTAATTTAGAACATTCATATTTTCTTCCCTTTCTTTTTTTTTCCCCCCTAAATATTCTTCTTTTTTTTTTTTTTTTGTCATTTTTTTAATTTTTATTTAAATGACTAAAAGCATATAAGTTCCACAAAACGGTAGCGTTTAGTCGTTTACAAAACGGTACAATTGAAAATTGGAACAATAAAATGCATATATTGCTACTATTTTTACTCTGAAATTGAAATCGCCAGTTTCTTCAAGAACCTCTAGGGTTTTGCAGTGAATCTCCCGCCTGAGGTACTCTCGATCCTCCTCTTTATGGTGTTTTAAGGGTTTCTTCCCATTCTAATACCGTTAGTCGTACTCATCTCTCTTCACTGAATTTCATTCTCTTCTGTTCCAGATTGCTTTTTCTATGGCTTTTTAGTTTCTGTTTTGCATTTAAAGCACTTAAAATCAGGCGTATGTCTGGAAGATTTTGTTCGGTACTGTTTTTGGGATAAGTTCCCTAGCTTGAGAAAATCAGAGGGGAATGGAGTTCGAAATCCAGAATTTGCAAATTAGATTCAGAACATATGTACAATAATCATACAGAGAATTTTTTTAAAATTTTGGGTTATGCTTGTGGTTTGGGCAATCTTTGCTGTTTGGAAGCTGGGTTGGCAATGATGAGTTGACTATCATGAGTTTATTTTCTGCGTGTTTATTCTGTGAAGTTATGTCCGCAGGCTTATTTAGTTTCCTGAGGATTAGATCATTCAATAAACTTAAGTGAATATGTATATTATGTGGGCTGTTGCTGGTCTTCATTGATGTTCAGACCATTGTATTTTCTTATAAGTATAATCCTTCATTGGCTTACTTTTCTTTTAATTAAACACCTTTAAGAGTTTGGAACTTCAGATGTCATGGGATCTGTTGGATTTGTTTCTTGTCTGTTTAAATGTGTCTTCTTTTAGTTTCAGTTAAATTGATAGCAGCATCGAAATCTATCCTCATTTTAGGTCGTTTTGAGTTTCATTCTGTTGTGTAGTTTTGGGATGGTTTAATGGTGGAATTAAAGTTGAATAGACATTGTCTTCAATCTCATTTGTGAATGATGAAGATTTTGATTGGTTTTGCGGTCCTGGTGGGTTTGGCTGTTTGGGTTTTGATTTGAATCTTTATTATGTTCTATAGGTCTTCAAGTGTAAACTGCAAGCTCATTTTAGTTATGCATTTATTTGCCATTCTGAATAGGATAGTCTGCTTCCTTCTAGTCTAGGATTTGAGAGGAGGCTTTTTGTCACCTCAAGGGAGAAAAATAAAAAAAATAAAAAAATAAAAAAGGCACAGACTTTTAATAGAAACGAATAAGGTGTATGCATTACTTTTCATCTGATTTGAATTGGTATATTATGCAACGTATTTTTTGTTTCTGTTATATTATGCAGTGTTTTGATTCTTGTGAAGAAAGTGGAAAAGAAGTTAGAGAAAGTAAAGGGGGAGGGACTTTAACTGTGATTGTTTGAATGATTTTTCTTACCAAGATCTGACTGTCTAATTTCTTATTTTTCTGTTGGACGTTATAGCTCAGTGAAGCAGAACTAGCTGCAAAACTGTCAAGCAGAGGTTGAGATGGAAGTTGTTCCAAGAGAGGTTGATAATGCTCTGTCTGGTCCAAGGCCAATGGAATGGTCTGTTGTTCCACATGCTTCTCAAGCACATGAAAGGAATGGAAACAAACGGACATCTAGTCTGGAATCACCAATCATGTTGCTGACTGGTCATCAGAGTGCTGTATACACCATGAAGTTCAATCCTGCTGGAACTGTTATTGCATCTGG